TTCAGCCTGACACTGTGTAAAGAAAGGACAGTAAAAGCATTGTTACGATCAGATCCCTATACACAGGTTGATAGTGTTAACCGTTTGGCTTCAGAGGCTAATGCCTGCTGTAAGCTGTGAGAAACGCAGCAGTGCACCCCGACGCGTCACCTGCAGTCACACAGGCAGACTCAGACAGGTTGTTGCTCTTGAAGAGAGCGAATTTCTCCATCACTGCAGGAACTTGAAGCGGAACTCGCAACAGCCAAGGTCCTTCTGGTCTCATCTCTCTCTCGCTCTCCCTCTCATCCATCCATCACACCCCCTCAGCTCTACATCTCACCTCTCTTACCACCTCCCTTGATCTCTCCTGCAGTTTATTCCTCCGCGTTTTCCTCTGAAAATCTTGCTCCTAAACAGCTGAAGCAAGAGAGAGAGAAATATAGTGTTGCAGCAAGAGTAAGCAAGGACAGAAGTGGGATGAAACAACAGGTTTAAAAAGTCAACCTTGTTTGGTTTAGTCATTTATTGTTTGCCACTCTGCTTTTGTCACTTATTATTATTTCTCCCATCCACTCTCCGTACAGTTGTGGTTCGGTGTTATGCAATGTCCCTGCACTGTTGTACTCACTGTTTTCAAGGTACTGCAATTTTGTGGCGACACAGAACTAAAAGTGAGAACACAATACTTTTTTTGTTTGTTTGTTTTGTTCCTGTACTTTTTTCCCTTAACATTACATAAGCAAAAAGGTAAAAATATCTGGACCTGTCTTTAGAAGCAGATGGTGTGGTTGTGACATCAGCCTCGTTAAAGGCAGCTATAACGAGGAAGAGCCAAGGGTTGTTGTGAAAAGTACACCGCCTTAAGTTCAGCTTCCACTGCTAACAAGGAGAAGAAATGCTCAGTGTCTGTGTGAAATGTGCTATGAAACAGAACAAAAGTATGTGTGGAAAGACAAAAAAAAAAATCTTTTAATTCTTTCCGGATAATGCTGCCTGTCTTTGCCCCCCACCTCCTGTTTCTCTGCTTGTATTCTGTCACTCACTGGAATGTGGGCAGATATGGGATAATAGTCAGACTTTCAGATTAATTCTGTTAGCAACTCAGGAGCCAATGTTAACCACGTGGTTATTGTTTTACCCATGAGCCCGTTGTCTTGGAAACGTTGCATAAGAGGGAGTGGGAAATCAGAATGCCCCTTGCTGATTGGGAGACAAGGTGGCAGATCTCTCTTTCTCTCGCCTCGTCTTCCCTTTATCTCCGTCTTGTTTTGCTTCCTTTTTCTTTTTTCCCCCCTCTACTCAGCATCATATGTGTCCAAGCAGCGGTGGTCCAGCTGCACCCCTTGTGGTACATGTTGAATCGAGATTCGTATGCAGCACCTCCCAATGAAGCTGAATGCAATCTAGGGGTCCTCCCACAGGATGTTTTTAGCATCAAATACTTAATTTCCTGCAAGTCGGGGGGATTTTTATGCACACGTTTTTGCTATTTCTGCATCAGCATCATTTCTGCATTGTGATGTACAAGACAACACAAACACAAAAAAAAAAACAAAATCAGGCACCAGGTGACAATAATTGGAGTATGAAGCAGGCAGGCTCTCAGGCGTTCTGCACCACTGTAGATCTTTTCCAGTTTAATGTTGTCATTCCTGATGCACACAAGCAGGCTTTTCTTTTCTGTCTTCTTTTGTGGGTGTTTTTTCGGTTTATTTGTTTTGTTTTTGTTTGTTTGTTTTTTACTCTAAGTGTGCACATGGCATCTAATCATGTAGGCATTTTGATTAATTTAGACAATCCCTAAGCTTTAATAGCTTATGCTCGCATCATGAAGACTTCTGTTAATTTCTGCTCGAAAATGAAAATTCAAAACATGCCACTTGTATTTTTTGGGGTACATATTTTGGGACTCATGCAGCAAACGTTTCAAGTATGCTACTGAAGCTGACAGAAAGCTATCTTAAGACTGGTTAGCAAGCTTCCTGATTGAGCAGAGTGGACAAGATTAGAAATGAGAATATAAGAGGGACAGCTCAGGTTGAGGGGTTTGGAGACAAACTTAGAGAGGCGAGGATGAGATGGTTTGGACATTTGCAGAGGAGGAATAGTGGGTATACTGGACAAAGGATGCTGAATATGGAGCTGCCAGGCAGGAGAGAAAAGACCACAGAGGAGATTCATGGATGTAGTTAAGGAGGGCATAGAGAGGGATGGCGTGACAGAGGAGGACGCTGGAGATGGAGGCAGATGGCGACCGCTGAAGTTAGCTGTCCAAAGAAGGAGAAGTTAGCAAAGTGCGCTTCTTTAAGTAAACGGAAAAATGTAACCTGCTGGTGTAGAAATTAGCTTTGACACAAGAAAAATATTTTCATCTTTTCCCCTTCTGGTTTCATCAAGCTGCTGGCGTGCACACAGAACCAGAGCTTTACCATGTATGGCGGGGGTGCTTACACTTGTGTCAAAGTAACTATACGAGTGCAAAATTCACATTATATTTTGTTTGTAAGGAAAAATAAGACCTGCCCCTATTGGTAACATTATGGAGACATCTGCATTTCCCCCCTTTTTAACTGATGGTAACAAATGTGCATGTTCTGAATATGAATAAAGATGTAACCCCCCCACCCCCACCCTCACCCATATCTATGCCTGTGTCTACAGTCGCAAACTGTACAGCTATTACAGTTTCTCAACCATGCAGCCCAGTTTCAACTAAATTAAAGTGCCTGTTGGCACAATGATTTATTGCCCAATTGGAAATGTTTGTCCACAGAGCGCTCACACACACAAACAAACACCTGTAAACACACTCTCTTACGCACACACGCCACTCTTTGAGTTGTGCTATGTGTCATCCTTGGCTGTGGGAGGCCTTGGCTGGAGTCAGTGAGAATAGCGCTTTGTTGAATCCACTGAGACCACATGTTCCAGACTGCATGGCTTGGCCTTCCATGGCTTCCTTACGAGCAAGGCCGCGCGATGCTCGCATATACGAAGAGGATGAAAGAGAAAAGGAGACCGGGGTTGGGTTGTGTGAAGAAGGACAGCGCGTTAGGGAAGGATGGCCTTGGCTCTGGAGACAGGACAGTTTATCTTCTGTAGCCTCACTGAGTCTGCCTCACTTAAAATGGAGGAAGAAAGATGATCAGATCTGACATTTCAAACTTAATAAAAGCTTTTTTCTTCTTTTTTTTTTTTTTGAGGCAGGATTGGAGTTTATCCAAAAAGACTCAAAACACAGCGCTTAGCCCGACATACCTGGATGTAATTAGCGATCTGAACAAATCAAGGCTGCTTTATGTTGCATCTTCTTTGACAGCATAACCTTAAATTCAGTTTCTGGTGCGATTTGCATTTTTTTCGAGCATATAGAAAGCCAAGAATAGAGCAGGGTGGGCAACCCCTTGTGTAAGGGAGCTGTCTTAATCCATGTGTTTAGCAAGCACCATCTGTTCCTTTTATTCAGATGGGAGTAGAAATATTTGGTTGATTAGGAAAGGATCTGTGAAGGATAGCTGCACCGTTACCACCAGCTACAAGGGACGCACATGCTTGAGTCTATCAACTGGTGTCTTGGAAAGGAAATGAGAGACAGACATACAGACGTCAACATGCGAGTGCGCAGATAAGTACACGTGCATATGGATGTGAACACGAACAGCACACAGACAGTAAGCATATTGTGTTTACAAAAGTGTAGCAGGCAGAAGCAGGCACACACCAGCTGAGCTGAGCAGATTTTAAGGAGTGTACATACAGTACTGTGCAAAAGTCTTGAACCACCCCCTCATTTCTTTATATTTTGCTTCCAAGAAGCCAGACTTTCTTGTATTTTTTAAAAGTGGTCTTGACCAATAGTTCTCCAGGCTTTAAGAAGGACAAATGCTGCTTTTTCACTCATTTTCAGTCCAGTCCTTGTACTTGACCATTTTCATGTTGGGGAAACCTGCAGTCAGCTAAGACTGAAGAAGTCACTTGGATGAGTCATGAAACGTTTCTCCCGCTGAAAATGTGACATCCAGATAAACAGAATCGACTTCATGGGATGTCCTTATCTGGATGATTGAGCGTGAATCAAGACGTTTTCAAAGGATGTTTTTTTTTCTTTGTTTGCTTTCTAGTCGCATAACACATAGCACAAAAAAGGCAACTAACTCAAGGGATGAATCAGTGTCTACACATAACTGACATCTTAGCCAAGAACCTGTTTTAAATTGTAAAGCCTGCTGCAAAAGAATTGAATTCAGTTTCTTAGTTTAACCTCAAAAAATGCTGGACATGACAGTTTGACGGGCATAAAATGGGATTTTTGGAGCAAAAAAAAGCAAACAAGTTAACCTGACTCAACACAGGATGGTGTGCAGTGTGCCATTCAAAATTTTAAGGAAACTGGGCGAAGTGAAGAAGAGGTGGCAGGCATAAAAATCTATCTACAGCAGATGAAAAGTGTCTAAAAAAATTTTTTTACCAAAGACATTGCTCAAGACCTGAGAGATCCATCTGGCTCTTCACCTTATCCAGCTGCTGTTCACTGAAGACTCATCAGAAATGTTCACAGTCTTGGGAAGGGAACATCTTGTCAAAATTGATGGAATTATAAAATATAAAAAAGGATGTGATTGGCAACTACATCATTTTTCAGCACGACAATAATCCCAAATACACTGCCAACACAGTAAAAGCATAGCTGGATAGAAAAGCACACAATGGACCACTATCAGTCATGTATTGGCCTCCACAGAGCCTGAAGGTTGAAGACTTTAAGACTACTTAAAAATCTTCAAGAAAGCGTTTCTAAGAGAGTTCGGACTATGTTGAAGAATAAAGTGGTCTTTTCAAATATTGACTTTCAAGCTCACTAGAATTGTGCAAACTCTAATATTGCTGTTTATGTTGTTGCTATTGTAGGACTGGAGTAGAGGTTCCTTTAAAAGGCTGTAAGCAAAATCAGCCAAACAGCAAACCATGATGTATGTTAGCTTTTCACAACACCGTATTGATGTGCCTTCTGTTTCTAGGTGCAGATCTTGGCGGCCTGATGGATCTGGAGTCTCTGTACCGTGGTGTGGAGCAGAGCATCAACCACACGCGAGCAGGGCGAATGCGCAGACAGACCTCTGACAGAGCCTACAACATCGAGGTGCTGCTGGGCGTAGACGACTCAGTGGTCCAGTTTCACGGGAAGGAGCATGTTCAAAAGTACCTTCTCACACTTATGAACATTGTAAGTCGATAGCTAACACAGGGGTAAGCACACTAACAAAAGCAGACAGACAGAAGAGTGAATGAATATATGTCAGGTAAAATGATGCATGATTGAATTAGGCATTTCCCACATAAACGAACATCATCTGGGGTTAATTAAAGGACTGAAATCGGACATACTTCAAGTGTCACGTTAATGTACACAGGTCATACAGAGATTTCCAGATGCCCCAAAATGAAATCATCAAATGGGGAAATTGTTTCATTTGAGCTGAATAGAAAGTAAGTCACACAGAGGTCAAAGAAAACTGGTAGCACACACCCACCGACTGAATGGGATTCAATTCCCTTCCTACATGTTCTCATCCAGCAATCAGCCGCGGGTAATCCTGTCTTCTCTATCTGAATATGATGAGATTTCATTTGTGCATGAGTGTGTGTGTGTAAGGTGAGCCCTCTCTGCTGAAGGAGCTCCTACATATCGTTTCATCAGGCTTTGTGTCATGTCATCACTCATTGTGAGTGTGTGTGTGCATAAGAGAGAAAAAGAAATAGAGAGAGAGAGAAAAGGAGAAAGAGAGATGCAAAAACAGCAGGTAGCATGCTCCAGGCCACAACAATACTTAGCATTTACACACCCAGGTGTTGTTACGTGTGTGTGTGTTTGTGTGCACATGTTTTTGTGTGTTGGTCCGACACTGAACACACTGCAGACTTTAATCTTTGCAAATGAAACCTGCGGCGAGCGTGCCGTTTGCATGCATTCGTAGATGTGCGTGCGTGCGTGCGCATCTGTTTTCCGTGTGCGCTCCTGTTTGCTTTTTGTTTTACCGCGACCCACCGCGCAAGGAACCAATCTCCGACTGTTAAGCAGGTGCAACAAATCCTTCCACACCTCTTTGTCTAAGTTCAGCGCTTGAGAAAGAACAAGTGCCGCTGTGCTCTCTGCCTCCCCTTTTAGATATTTGTTAGACAATATAGGCGAAGGGAATGCGCAGCCCTGTCACAGCCCCCCTCTCATCTGTGGGGTAGAGAGAGAGAGAAACAGAGGGAGAAGGAGTATTTTAAACAGCGCATTCAGAATAAATTACTGACAGCCAGATAAACAGAAATAAATAAATAAGGTTTTGCCTCCCACGCGTGGCATCTGGGCGACTTTCTTCTTGAAAGTTTGCTTTGCTCACTTCAGGATGGGTGTGCGCTGTCTGATTCTCCCTCTCTCTTTCTTGCTTTCTCCATTTTTCCTTCCTCGCACTCTCCCAGGTTCTCAGCAGTGTTGCTCCTTGGTTTACTCCTCCCTGACTTGGGTAGTTTATGGCAAAAAATCCTCAATGGTGTGGGGGGAAAAAAATCTCAGTATAATAGAAGTGAAAGCACGGGTTTATTGGAAGACATACTGGAGGTAAATTTATGATAAGCAGAGATATGTAGAGGATACTTCTTGCCAGAAATGCTAACTAATGGGAATTATAAGTAGGGTTGGGAGTTATTGGTTTAGTGTAGTGCTTAATACTGAACAGTTAGTAAAAACAACTTGATGAGAGTTTTCATAAATTAATATTAGCACCATATTGTCTTTATATTCGAGCTAAAACAGAGGCTGAAACTAAGAGCTGCTTTGAAACTATGCAAACCTCTACTTTCCTTAAACACATGTTCACTTTAAAACATTTGGTTCACCCAACAAAAGACATTTATTCACAACATCTGTTGTACAGCCACCTTTAAACGATAAGCAGCTCGCTTGTGTTTTAGTGCAAGAGGCTATTGTTTAAAATTAGAGCGTTTTCGTTCTTTATTTTCTCTTAATTTTTTCTTTCTTTTTTTTGTAGGAACTCATTTAAATTTTAGGCGATGGACTTCAAGTTCATAAAATCTGAATTGTTAGTTTTTAGTTTGAAGAAACACTGCACATTTCAGGAGACAATGCCCTGGTCACAAGAACAGGTGTCTTAACAACAAAACGAACGTCAATTAGAGTCAAGCAGACCCTCTCATTCTTACAGATGCACAATCTAAAATGCTGGCATCACTGTGCCCAAGCATGAAACCTGAGTGCTTTCTCGACATCTCGGTATTAAATAATCGAGAATGCTATGCAAGAGTGCTTTTCTTCAGTTGAGGTTTTGCAAACATTTGACCTAACCATGTGCTGTTAACTTGTCTGCCATTTTGAAGGTTTGACAAGGCGATGGCAACAGTGTAGGGTCATGTGGCTAAAGCCTCAGTCACATAGGCCTAGAGATTGGTCTGCAACCATCTGAAAACCACCAGTCGAGAGAGAAAAATGAGTATTCTATGACCGGTTGTGATTGCTGGAGGTTGATGGTCACTGGCAAAATGCTTGGTAAAGTCCCAGTCACGCAGGCCTACAGACCAGTTAGTGACCCAGTGGGAACGACCTGTTACCAGGTGGTATTCCCCAACTAGTTGCTAGTATATTGCTGCATTTGCAGTTTAAATGGAAGTGGCGGACAAACATTGGTGCAGCTGCTCTCTGACTTATAAAGAAACCCTGAAAAGTGCAACGCAAACCAGAAATGGAAGGTTTGCCTTCAAAATAAAAGTTGGGATTTTGGCTATATGTCAGGCAAACCTTCTCCATTTTCATTTGCAACCAATGGCTAGTAGTTATATTTGTGGGCTAGCATGTATTTGCAGACAAGCAGCACGTTCTTTGCAACCAGTTTCAATCAACCACAGCCAGCAATGTCCAAAAACCACTGCCAACCAGTCAGGGAATACATGTTTTACCCTTAGCAATCATCACATGAAAAACCTCAACGCAGATATCCAGTTTTGTGAGCAAGAGGGGGAGAGCAGTTGAGTTGCTCCTTTCCCAAGAGTACGGGGTAAAACAGATCAACACTGAAAAACTCAAGCACATCAAGCCTAGAACACTAATTTGAGTGCGGGTCAGCAAGAGGACAGTCACACACAAGCACAGTGGAAGGCAACCACGCCTAGTGTGAGCATGATCCCAAAGACCAATTTGTGGGATTCTGTGGCATCTAGCAGCAATTTAGCAAATACCCCTTACTCCCCCAAACCTTTCTGAGATCTTCTTTGACCCAGTGCTTGGTTTGTCTGTTTAAATGTATCATTTAAAGCTAAAAGAATAAACTTTACAGGACACTAATTAAAACAAAATTATGTATAGACTACTATACTGCAATATCAATTTCTACTGAGAGATCCTCCTAAATCTTACACATTCCTCAGTTAGGTAAAGGTTAAGCAACTAAAATTTTGAAATATCTATGAAATTCACCCAATCATTGCCACCTAGAAAAACACACAGATTACTTTTAAAAGTGTAACACAAGTATATGTTTTACCAGGACATTTGGGTGGTTTTACAGATGCAATACAACTCTGTAAGAACTTGCAGCTGCTGGCTTACACTTTGGAAATGATTTCTTGTTATTACTGTATCAATCACTCGCAGATATCTAAAACCTGCTAGATACTCGAATGCAATATAACGCTTCACATTTGTTGCCAGTAAGGCTGATACTGACTTTTTTGTTCATTTTGGATGGTATAAAAATATGAGAATCTGAAGCGATATGCTCGTTAAAGCCTTCAAACGTTCATATAGACTTTTGCATGCATGTATGCGTGAATGAATACATGTATGATGGACATTGGACTATACTGCAAGCCCAGAGGACTTCGAAGCATTCCCACAGAAAACTACTAAGTCCTGTTTAAAAGTTCAACAGGAGTGTCAGAATGTGTTTGTCTGTGAGTGTGTCTGCTGAGTTAAATGTGTGTCTTGCTAATCCGGTTCTGCTTCCCACTCCTTTCCCATGTGTTTTCCTGCCATTTTTTTTATTGTGTTATCAGAATAAGTATAAGTAAGGTAAGAAAGAAGAAAATAGTACAAAAAAGAGAAAAAGAAACAAAATCAGACAGAGGTGTAAATCCTCTTTTCTATCTGTTATAAAAATAGGTGTTTGCAATGTGTTAATTTGGAAATGGATTAAAAGGGTGGTATGGTGGTGCAGTGGTTAGCACTATCGTTTCACACAGGTTTCACACATTTAACCCTCTCAGGCTCAAATTAAGTTTTTGTTGCTAATGCACAAAAGAATACCTGCAGTGGTACTTCTGAGTAAAAAAAACCTCATAAAATATGTATGTGGGGTAATCAGGTTGTTAGCTTTTAACTGTTGCAAATCTGCAACGCCTGCCTTGAGAGGGTTAACACAAGGAAGGTTCTAGGTGTCCACAGACATGCCTGAGGGTTAACTGGTAATTCTAAATTGATCTTACATGTGGAGTCTAGTCTCTCTGTGTTAGCTGTGATAGTCTTGCACCCTTTTCATCCTCTATACATTAAAAAAATAACGAGAATGGATGGGTTATGGCCAAATGTTGAAAGCCGGGAACTGCTTTGCCTTTGTTATTTAGTAAAAGTATCAAGAGTCTGTTATTTGTTTGTATTTGTGTCAAAACTATAGCTGGGGACCATTTTTTGTATCAACCCACCCATACATTGCTTTTTGTGGGACAAACAGTGAGTGTAGTGAGGAATATTCAGTTCCAGAATAGGTCCAGGGAACAAGTGAGCGTAAAGGTAAGCAGAGGTTGTAGAGGGCTCAGATAAGGATACTGAGGGTAACAGTCGTAATAGTTAAACATTCCAAACACTGACTGCAGAACTATGAGGGTACACATGGCTATATGTCTGTGAAGGTTCTCAGTCATCCAGGTCATCATAGTCTAAGGAGCTTGGAAAGAAGTCCAGACGCTTTTCTTTCTAAGCTCCTTAGAGTACACATGGCTAGCTTCTCTAGCACAGACTGTGGTGTAGCTTTCACTCCAGTGCTTTGTTCGACAGTGCATATCATCAACCATGCAGCACTTCAAGTCTTCAAGGTAGTACATCCGCTAATCATAAATAATGAGAGTGAGAGCGGTGAATCAATGAGCTTATTGCAATATTAAGCAATTACTTAATATCACAATGAATGTGTTGTGCTGTGGCACTGGTACGGTAATCTTCTTGCGGCA